TGGAGGTGGACGAAGTCCAAGGGAGACAGGTGTTCACTGGTCGTCCAACTTGTGCCAAGGGATGGAGACCCAAAATCGGAGTGTGGCGTACATGTGCCACGAGGTGACCAACAGGGTGCTGGGATCTGTTCGGAAAGCTGCGGACAAGGAGGCAGCAAAGCCACAGGAAAAAGGCAGCACACATCGAACGACCCAAGGGCACCAGAAAACCAGCCAGGAGATGGAGAAAGCAAAGTAAAGGACATGGCCGAGATGGCCGAGGAGGTGTGCTCTCCGCAGGCAAGGCGGCCTCTGAATCTCCATCCCAAATGCGTGTAAACCCAATATCATGGGGAGAAGGCCTAAACCTTAGGGAACTAGGGTAGGGAGGAATGGCAATGTATGCACTGGTGGGCGCCCCAGAACCACCGATACGCCTCTTCGGTACGCAGTGCAAAATTGCTGAGGCCTTGTGAGGGACGAAGGCCATAGTGATCGGTTCCCATAATGGCGAAGGGGTACCAGCACACACAAAAACCCAATGTGTGTCCTGGACCCGCGAGGAAGACGAAAGGCCGCTCCAAGAAGAAAACAACCCAAGAAAGGATGCTTCTCTCGGGGCACCTTGTGCGACGTGGCAGCAGGCAGGGGTATGAGCTGGGCGAGGTGGACATCTCCGAAAGGGCGGTTGTACAAAAACCTGTACATTGTCTACTGTACAACCCGAAGGATCCTCACTGCCTGCTAGCAGCTCCCCACAGTGAAAGAGCCGAGACAGCAGACTCAACCCGAAGGGTAACTGAACTGAGAGTTGCCCCACTGCAACTCTACAATTCGGACCCGCCAGGGAATCTACCGGCTTGGACGTCTCACGTGGGGGGCTGCTGCAACAGGAACTCATATTGGTCGCTATTCCATCTGTCTGAGACCAGGAGACCGATGTTCTCCGTCCTGCATAGTTGTGTCTGTCTGCCTGGGACGGCTTGCCAGGTCCTCGTCGCTGTCGTCGCTGATAACACCCGAGGGTTTCGAAGTCTCCTTCTCCTTGGTAAGCCGGGCCTCCAATTGAGCCTGAGACTCCTGCTCGACCTGCATGCGCATGGCTTCTCTCTTCACATCCAGACGTTCCTGAAGGGAGAGTCCTGAAGGCGAAGCGGTGTGTGCGACGCCTTGTGGCCCATTCGGCTTCACTGGCTGTCGTGGTGGAAGTGCAGAGTTGCCCTGGGCGGTCGTCTTGGTACGAGGCCTCTGCGGCGTCGGTTCTTTGCCTGCCTCGTGGCTGCTGAGGCTGTCGGCGGTGGCGGGGACTCCCGCAGATGGTTCTGCCGGGCCTGCAGGATATGGGTTGGCTGCACGTGGAGAGGCATGTGAATACGCGGGGAGCTTTCCATCTCCTCCTGCCAGGTCCGGCCCATTGCCGGTGGTAGGGGGCGGTCCTGCAGGAACAAGGCCAGGTGGGATCGTCCCAACTTGGCTGGCTAAGACAGTCAACAGTCTCGCCGCAGCTTCCGGAGTCATCAAAGCACCTGGAGCTGGTGCTTGCTGTCCCAAGGGTGGGCCCCGTTGCAAGGCACGTTGGAGTACTGCCTGCGCTGCATCGACGTCGTGCTGCTCTTGTCTCCAGGAGTCCATGATGCCATCCCAGTCCATGCTTCCATCCTGCTCCAGGGCCTCGTCCCCTTGCTCTGTGCCGAGGTGCCAAAAGTTGCGTAGGTTGCTCCTTGCCTCTTCTCTTGCTGAAGTCGCAGCTGCATGGTCCCGATCGAGGGTCTCCATAGCTTTTTGGAACCTGGCATACTCCTTGGCGAGGGTAGTCTTCATGTCCTCCTGGAACTGCTTCCAGAGTCGCTCCTTGGTGTCCCTGGCTGCAGCGATGCTGCGGACTTTTTGTTCCGCTTTGCGTGTGACATTGATGTATTCCTGCAAGTCCGCAGTCATCTTGTCTTGCGGGTCTTCGGCGACGACTGTGCCTTTTCCAAGGCCTTTGTCCTTGCTCGCCTTGCGAACTGCAGCCGCCCTGTCCTTGCTGTCGTAGGTCGGGAACATGGAGGTAGGGGGGGCATTCTCTGTCTCGTACCAGGACTCGTTGTACCGTCGTCGGGAGCGAGGGCTCCACGTACCCGGCCAATAATCCCAGTAGTCCGAGCCAGAAGACTTGCTTGAAGGTTTGCCCTGTCCCTTCTGCTTGCCGTCCCATCCTTTCCCCATATAAGCTTCTAGTCGCAGACGTTGGGCTGGACTGGTAGCGTGTGCAGCCACAAAAGGTGGGCTGCCCTCTTGCTCAGCGAGACGCGAGCTCGCAGTTTTGCCCTTGTCTGGGCTCTCCTTTTACGAAGGCGTCGGTGCCAACGAGGCGAAGGATGATGCCGCGGAATGCTAAAGCAAAAGGTGCGCACTTTGTGCGCTGGGGCCTACAATGTTCCGGTCTCCTAGCCGGCGATTTGGGCCCTAAAAACTTGGTACACTTCTCGATTTGTGCGTGTCATCCTTGCGCAGGGGCCATGCTAATCTTCTCTGTATCGTTCCAATTTTATCGGATGATCCCCGAAGGGAATCCCAAAATAGTATTGGCAATTATGATGGCCCCTATATTAGGAAGCAAGGACCTCCCAGGTGCACCCTGACCTGAGCCCTAAATGGGGTTATGAGGGTTACAAGGGTTTAGGGCTTCGGGTTAAATGAGCCGCCCATAAGCTAAGGCGAAGCGACGAAACCCATGAACCCAGAACTGGCATGTACCTATAGTCTCCTCCCATAAGGAAACTCAAGAAGGGAACTGCAGTGGAGACTAAAGTAGAGGTACAAAGCCTGACCCCAATCTCTAAACCCAAGCTGCCACCAACGCCTGTGAACAGTGATAACTTGAACCTTCGCTGTCGGCCCGCAACAGCTACTTTCCTCACCCTCGACTCATCCCCCAAATCCTATCCGCAAACTTGAACCGTATGTAAACCCTGAAAACCTGAGCCACTACACTTCTCACAAAAAATCCAAGCGGCGCCATGGTAGGGGCGAGACATTGGACAGCCGGCCTGTGCAAGACTCTTAGGATGAAGGTGTGGCTTATGTTCCAAGTGGATGGCGAGGGCTTTAAGACTTTACCCAAGTTCCCTAGAGGTTTTCCAACATCTTAAAATCGCGGGCGGTTAAACTTTTGAGGCGTCCTTGGACCTGCTTCCGCAAACGTCTGTCACGAAGATGTTCAGAAGGTCCTTGCTCTGGATTTAGGTTGGGTGCTGTTCCCACCCTGAAACAGTCTGTATCAGGGGTCATGATACGCGCTATGTATAACTGCATTAAAGAATATCTAACTGCTACAGGCTGGTGGCAGTGCCCCAGGTTCGGAGTTTAGGGTTAAGGATATAGGCGTTAATCTGTATCAGATGCACCTCCCTTTCACAGAACTGGTGTGGCAGAGACCTCCTCTACCTGGGGACCACAGCTTGGTTCGTTAAAAGCACCCTGAAGCATCCTAGGTCCTAGTATGAGGGTTTGTCAACACCTCGTGTTCCTGGCCTAACCATGGATGATTTGGGTGATCCTGGCGCTTTACAGGCGTCTGGTGACATGTTCGTTTGATGTATCGCTTTACTCTCGAGTACTTGGTGATCGTAGTAGTGAGAGCATCAGTGACAATGATTCCCTCAGGTTAGGCAGTGGCTCACAAATCACACGGACAGTTCAGGCACAAAGGCGGTATCCTGACGGATGATTTAACGGATGCTAGGGTGATTCAAAAATGCAATAACCAAGCCACCAAAAACGCTCAAACCCTAAACCCTAGCCCTAGAGCCCAAAACCCTGAAACCAGAGCCTAGACATCGAACAAGCTCTTCACCTGGCTGACAACTTGGCCCTAACTTGAGTTGCCGTTCAGCCTCAACTCTAAACCCCAAAACACTAAACCCGAAACGCCAAACCCCACCAAACTTGGCCCGGAGCCCCACAAGCCCCACAACCGAGATCCCGAAGACCCCAAAACCCCCCCCCCCCCCCCCCTCGAAACCTTCGACTCGCCAAGCCGCCAAGCCCTCTTCGACCCTAAATCTCTCCCGTCTTTTTCCAAGTTCTGAAACCCTAAACCCGAAACTCCTTCAACCCGAACCCGAAACCGTACACCCTCGGCATTGTTTTTCGCCAAGTCTCCTGTAGAACCGGCGTACAATCGCCCGAGGGCTGTGGACTTCAAGGAAAGCCAAAAGCAAAAAAGCGGGAACGGCGCCGTCTGAGGGCTGAAGCAGAAATGCTAAAGTTTATGAGTTGAGGGTTTTAGGGTTGAAGATTGAGGGTTTTATTAGGTTGTGGGGTGCAGGCGGTGTAGGGTCTGGGAAAAATAGCAAGCTTCGTAGTGCTAGTGCACGATCGCCCGATACTACTGCTATGGGCAAGAGAAATGGAGCAGTCGTTCCCCCGCACTCCAAAACCTAGTACTGATGCTACCTGAAAGGGTAGAAGAGTACCAGTACCACTTGGGAGGCAGGGCTGAAACGTTTATCATCGGGAAGACCCCGAAGTAATACACCCAAGAAGCACTAGAAAAGGGATCCCTTAGGTTAAAGGGAAATTTCAAGACGCTTCAACACAAGGGGGGTTGCCTCTTGCGTTTGCTGCTTGTGCTCTAAGAGTAGCGACAAATAAGCATGAAAGTTTGAGGGTTTGTAAAGTGACCTCCCTTAAACTCCACTAAAGAATTTGATGGAGTTGCGTGACTTGCTCCTCTAGGATCAGTCATGTGACAGGCGACTTCGCCCTTGCTGAAGGTAGCAGGGATTCGCAGTCCAGAGCATGTTGCCTTGCGCATTTCAGGAAGCTTCGCAAGTCCACCACACCAAACTCTAATACCCTAAATCCTGAGCCCTAAATCTAAGCCCCGAATTAAGCCTAAACCCTTAACCCTAATCTCCAGAACAGCACATGTCGACACCGAGATCCTAGCAGCCCTTGGAGGACTTGAACGATTTCAAAAGGCCCTCATGGTCTTCACGCACCGATCATTGACAAAGACCATCCGGGCCCGCTGCCACCCAGAAATTGCGGAAGAAGGGTGGCAAGATATCCTGCCATCAGGCATCGCAGGACTTGTGGGAGTTATCGAATTTAGAGCCACGGCATACGGAGTAGGGTTTTAGTACTACCGATAGTCTCCATTGCAGTTCTTTTGGTTGGTAAACCAAAATGTCTACTATAGGGTCCTAACCATAAAACTGGTTAACCAGAAAAAGGAACTACAATGGAGACTATAGCCAGTATCCCCGGGCAACGCACAAAATGTACACACTATATACACTCACCCAAATTTCTACAACAATTCCACTTCATGTGGGGAATGCCATTCAGGATGTTCGGGCTAGCACGCCCCAGGCCTTTGGGGCTTCCAAGTGACGTTTTAGGTCAACCTTGCGGCGACGTTTAAGCTGTCGGTTGTGTTGGGTTTTAGGGTTTAGGGTCTGTTCATTCAGTGTTGCAACACCCTGAACGCTACGCTGCTCAAGAATTTCAGCACCTACATCATGCACGACTTCACAGAACCCCCAGCAAAACCAGAGAAGTCCTCCGTAATTGAATGCCCTTCCGTTTACCGAAGATTGCTCAGCCGCCGAATTCAGATCGAAACCCATGCCCTAAAGCTTTCGGAGCTTTGGCCTCAAGCCAAAGCTGGCTTTCGATCTAGACTTGGGGATTTTGGGCTCAATGCTAAGTGCTCAGAGCTTAGAGTTCTGGAATGTTAGAATACTTAGTTGCCGAGCTCGTAAAAGTGTACCATATTATCCCCAAAAGTGTAAAGTGTATCCACTCAGCTACTGAGAATATTCCAGTCATGCGTAACTGGTAGTCTCGCGGAGTCGCAATCTCTCTTGGCACAGTATGTTCAGTTTCCCGCCTCGCGGATGTAGCTAGGCTCCACACCTTCTGTGGCCACGCACTGCTTCACCACCTGAATATTTGTAAGGGCTTCGCGGGTTTAGAGTGAATTTCGCTCAGGGATTGCCACGGGTGCCTGGCGAAACTCAAACCTCTTCCGGGTAGCATAGGCTACCGCCACTAAACCCTAAACCCTAAACCATAACTCACGCCTTGAATTGAGCCCCAAACTCACCCTGAAACCCACAAAGCTGGGATCAACTCTCTGAAACCTCAACTATACAATGCTAAGCTTCACAGATCCTGTTTAGGAGTCTTTTTGAATTTTAGCGTGTACTCTTTTGGGGTTTAGGGTTCACGGTTTCGGGTTTTAAAGCTTCTGCACGGCTCCAGCAGAACCGTCATTGAACAAAACTGCGTTTCAACACGCAACAACCTGGTACAGAGGCGTGTTGAAGCCTTGTATCGTCCTCAAGGCGCTTGATAAGAACAATCTTGACATAACACTCCACTGCTGGTCTTCAGCAGACTCGAGGGACGTCTTAGGCTAAGTCTTCGGGTTCAGGGCTTGGGTTTCTCTCAATTTCTATGTAGGGTTTAGGGTTTAGGGGTTTAGGGGTTTAGGGTTTCTCGCAATCTTTAACCTTGCCAGGCCGTGCCATAAGAACTCGCTGCACTGCGAAACTTCGGAGTCATGTTCGCACCCTTGGCATAAGAAATTCTAGCCCGAACTCTAAATCCATCATGCTTCTTTGTTTCAGGGCTTCGAGTTGCTTCCTGCGTGCTTAAGCGAGAGACATCCATCCAGATTTGAAAGCCTGCAACCTGACACTGGGATTCGGGTTTAGGGTTTGGTGTTGGGATGCCTTGGGTTTAGGGGTTAGTGTGGATTTCGGATCCAATTCTCAGGGCGCACGGTTACCGGTTTGGGCTTTGTGAAAGTTAGGGCCTCTGATACAAACCGATGCACCTTCAGCACGATCTTCTTCATCTCTTCATCTGGGGTGGAGAACTCACGGATCAGGATGATCATGACCTGACGGAACCCTGCAGCACCGAGAACATCGTTTTTATGCATGTACATACGAACATCTCTACCAGTATGTCAGAATAGTATTCGTTATCACCGCTACACTACGCCACGGGCCGAACCCGAAACCCTGAAGAACCCGAAAGGCAAGCCCTAAACTAGGCCCTAAACCTTTCATGAGACGGGCGGAAAGGGGTTGCTTGCTTGTGCCCCGTGACGCTAGATTCAGAATTGGGACGGCGAGGAGGCCAGCTTCACGAAGAGGGGCTTCGAGGTTGGGGTTTCGGGTAATAGCGGTCAGGGGTTGCAATGTGTTGTAGATAGAGACTGTACATAGTGTCCTTCATTCAGAAATGAAACTCTTGCCAAGAACGTCAACATGATGGAAAACAAGAGTTATGACCTAAACCCCTAAACCCTAAACCTCTAAACCCTATGACCATACCCAGCCGTGCTGTGTGGCGTTTGCCTCTCCGCTTTGCTTCATAAGCTCGGGAGCTTCGAAGCCAAAGGGCAAAAACAAAGGTAAAGCCTTGAGTTTAGTGTTAGGGCTTCCATCAACCCTGAAAAAGCCTACATAGAAGGGCTCCTCATTATAATAAACCTTAAACCTCTAAACCCTATAACCCTATACCCCAAGACCTAAACCCTGAACCCTAAACCCTATGTTAAGACAGGTCCTTGAGAAGTTTGTGGGCTTGGGCTTTGGATGTCCCGAGAGCAAGGCGGGAGGAGGAGGGGCTTTAGGGTTTAGGGTTTAGGGGTTCCGTGTCGGGTCAGAAGCACGACAACGCAGGATCACATGTATCCTTAAAAGGGCCACGGGGAACATACCGAGTCCCACGGAGGGTACTCAGTGACTCAGGATAGAAGAAAGTTAAACCAACATACCACGAAACAAGACTCAAGAATAAGCTGGAAGGGGATACAGGCCCTTTCACTTCCTTCACAACATCAATACTTCAAGCCCCTGAACAAATCCTGGTGCCAGAAGCCAGCAAAGGCCTAAGGAGAGCCCAGGCCCTGAACCCTAAACCCTAATCCCTAAATTCCAAACCCTAAATCCTAAACCCTAAGGCCCTAAACCCTAAATCCTAGACCCGAAACCCTAAGGAATGCCTAGGCCAAGCGTTCTGCCAAGGCGCCTCCCGGGTGTAATAGTTGGCGTGCTCGGCGTCCATGAGAGGGATAATGTAGCCGATGGCCTCCCGATGTAGGATGTAGGGACACTTCAAGGATGGGGGGGGGGGGTACGCTTAGAAGTCAGGTGACAACTAAAGTACTTACAGCACTATAACCTTACTCACCCTGCCTCGAGCCCGAGGTCCGAAAACCCCTGGCTAATCCTGAAAGTACGCTTGTCTGCCGCTCTAAAATGAATTTCTAGTGACACTGTTCTAAACCGGGATGTACAAGGGTTATACAAGGGTTTTGTAAGGGTTCTCGATTTCTAAGCGCAGACAAAGGCTACTATCAGTGGGACGATGCTTTATTTTGAGGCCTTGTCTGCCGCAAGAGGGGTACGATTGCAGTGCTTAGGGTTCCTTTGAGGAATCCTAAACCCTAAACCCTAAACCCTAAACCCTAAGGGTTTCAGGCAGGGTTTAAAACGTTTGGGGCTTCGACAGTTTCGGTTTTGAAGGTCGGGCTCGGAGCTTGCAAAGTGGAGGTTTATGCTTAGGCTTGAGCCTTAGGGTTCCTTTAAAGGGTTACTATAAGGGTTCCTTTAAGGGGCTCTATAGGGGTTTCGGGTTTAGGGTTGAGCCTAGTTCCTGCAAGGGACTGCGGAAATAGAGTTCAGTTCAATGCCAGACTCTGGCCTGGAACTTTAGGGTTTAGGGTTTAGAGTTTAGGGCCTAGGGTTTGTTCAATTCCAAGCACTATTCAGTTACGACAGTATACAGCTGGTACACAGGCGTGATCGAATTGCGACCATAAGACAAGGCTGTGAAAGTTTCATGTCACCGTCCAGGTTTGGCTCAGAAATATTGAGCTTTGCGGACCACCTTCAATGTACGATTTTCATGCCTTGAAACTGTATACGGGGAATAGATGGCTTCTGGTTCTGAAGTCAGGAAGCTTCCTTTACTGAGCGCTTTCGGATAATTTCGCAGCAAGCAAGAAAGACGGCCCCTGGGGCTTCCTGAACTGTGCGTCCCAAACCTAACTTGGAGGTTCATGGGTAGATATAAGTGGGGTTATAAGTCCCTTATCTGGGTTATAACTGCAGTTATCCTACTTACAACCCTACTTATAACTACCCATGAACCTCCAAGAACTGGGGGCCACATCATAAGGACAATACCACTTAGTGGGTTTACTTGGGTCCCTTTACTGTTAGGCATAACAGCTCTAGTCTAAAAAGACATCCAAAGCCCTCAATCCCCAAAGCCAGTAACAAACTGATTTATGCAGGAGCACACACATGATAAACTTCTGCACTTGGCACGAACATGACAAACTTGATACCAAGGAAGTGCTGACAAGACTACTGACACGCATGACCCTCGACTCGAAGGCTAAAGATTCCCTACACCCTAAACCTTGAAACTCTACAGATGAAGCCCTACACCCTGAATCCCAAACCTTACACCCCTAAACCCTAAACCCCTAAATCCCAAACCCTATATCCCTAAACCCCTAAACCCTAAATCCCATACTGAACTTAGAACCCTGGCGAAAATTATCATTTTAGCTGTTTCTTAGGGATTATAATAACCAAAAATGAAAATTATTTCTAAGTACCCTTAAGGAAATAGATCAACCGGAGTCTTCCGGGTTGTCGGTCCGGGCCTTCAAGAAAGCCGCCAGGCCCTTGCCACGATGCTCGCAGATGCCTGGCCCGCAGAAGATCGCGATTCTAGCTCCGGTGCAGGAATTAGGGTTTGGGGCTTTCGGGGTTAGAGTTTAGGGCTCCGACAGCTTCGTAAAATCTCTGCATTAAGGGAGCATGATCCATACAACCAAAACTAGGTTCATCCTAGAAAAGTACCTTCCGAAGCCTCTATCCCAAACCCCTCAAACGGTGCGACATCCGCCTTTCCACAGCGGCCGCAGCACGGTATCGAAGGCCTCAATGCCGTAGGGCATGGCGGCCTTCCGTGCATCGGCTGTGAAGTTGAAGTAGGGGTTTCAAGTTCAGGGCCGAATACAAGGGCCTTAGTTGTTTCAATAAGGTTCGGGGTCTGTTGCGTCATGAACATAATAAGGAAGCCCGAGGAATAGTACAGTCTTGATCATTCTTGAGGCCTCTTGTGAAGTGCATGTACAAGCCGCTGAGTGCCTTCCGGAGTTCATGGGCTCTTGAGGAACCTTTTGTGTTGACATACCCAAAAAACAAAGCATTCGCTCAGTAATAGATTTTGTTTGACATACCAAAAAGCAATGCATATGCTGAGTAGTAGATTTTGTGGATAGACCCTAAATAACAGATCTCTTTCTGGTCGCCCCCGTGGCACAGTAGTAGCGGAGGACTTGTTTTGAAGGCTCAGTGGCACGTGTTGTCGAGGTTTGGGGGTGTGTGCCGTTGGATTAAGATATCAGATACAAGTAGGTCAGTACTTGGAGGTTCATGGGTAGTTATGAGTAGGGTTACAAGTAGGGTAACTACAGTTACAACCCCTGGAGTTAAGAGTAACCTAGAAATAAAAAGGGTGCCCTTTTTGCTCTAAAGGGGCTTATAAGGGAACCCGAAGCCCCCAAAAAGGGAATAAGGGCCTACTCTAGGTCCTAGACCCATATGATGGGACTTATAAACCCCACTTATAACTGCCCCTGAACCTCCAAGTCGGGCCTGACTTGGTGTTCCTTAGGATTCCTTATCAAACCTATACCATCATTTAGCCGAGAACACTGTTCTAACCATTAAGTGTTCTGACGATGAAGGCCCTTAAATCAAAAATAACCATGAGGTACCAGACAGGTTCAGGCTCAGGATGCATCTCCCTCCGCACAATCCAGCTGCTAAACCTGAAATGGAAACCCCCAAACCCACAACCCTACACCGGCTGAGGGTTCAGGGTTTATAGGGAGACACACACACACACACCAACACCAACACCAAACAAAAATTCTTGAGTTCCTTCACCCCGAACGACCTGTCGAAACCCCGTCCTAAGATTCTGCAGGCTGAAACCTTAAACCCAAGAGTTCGTATGTCAGCCTCGGGTCCGATTCCACGATTATTTTCCGATATAGGTTCAGATACGGGTTTGAATACGAATCGGCAATACGGGTTGGAATACCAATACGGCTTCCAATACGGTTTCAATACGGGTTGGAATACGAATTGGGCTGGACGGAATACGGTTTGAATACCGGTTTGAATACGGGCTTGAATACGGGCTTAAATACGGGTTTGAATACAGGTCGAAAAAGGAAATACGGGTTTGAATACGGTTTTGAATACAGGTTGAAAAACAACATATTGGTACAGATACCAGTGAGAATGCAGGTCGAGATACACAATAAGATTTTGTGACAGGGGTTCGTGGTAGGGTTAGTAATAGGTTTGAGAAGGCAGGTCGAAATATTCTTCTTGCCGCATGGAATTGCCGGCACAAGCCACGGCTGTGCAAGACAGCCTGAGTGCCAAGCAATACTACACTGTTATCATTACAGGATTACTTTTGCTAGCCACTCTTGGCCAGAAGGGAACATCGATCGGGTCCCCACCCCACCCCACCCCAGCCCCTTCACCCCGCCCCCGCCCGCCACGGCCGTGCGCCCCGCCCTGCCTCCACCCACCCCACCGACTGACCCGGTGAGGGAGGGCGGGACCCTGTATGGAAACCTGTATTGGGAACCGTATTGGAAACCGTATTGGAACCCGTATTGGAGCTCGTTTTGGAACTCGTATTGGAACCCGTATTGAAACCCGTATTGGAACCCGTATTGGAACCCGTAAAACGCTTGGGTTTTGGCACCAAACCACCCAGGGCAGGGCAGCAGGGCAGGGCGTGCGCAGGGCAGGCAAACCCAGCACAGGGCAAGGGTGTGGCGGTTGTGCGGGGTGTATTGCAACCACGCCGAAACCCGTATCCTGACCCGTAAAATTGTCTTGGTCCGGTTTGGACAACGGTTTGGGGTGGTAAAACCCAAGCGAAATACGGGTTTGGATACGGGTTCCAATACGGGTTCCAATACGGGTTCCAATACGGGTTCCAGTACGGGTTCCAATACGGGTTCCAATACGGTTTGGATGTTTCCAATACGGTTTCCAATACAGGTTTCCATACAGGGTCGCGCCCTCCCTTCACTGAGTGGTGGGGTGGGTGGGGGCAGGGCGGGGGCGGGGTGAAGGGGCTGGGCTGGGGTGGGGTGGGGTGGGGACCCGATCGATTTTCTCTTCTGGCCAAGACTAGCAAAACTGATCCGGTAATGATAACAGTGCAGCATTGCTTGGCACTCAGGCTGTCTTGCACAGCCGTGGTTTGTGCCGGCAATTTCAATGCGGCAACAAGAAGCCTGCCCAGATCTTAGTTCTAGGCCTATTCAGAAACGTTTCCATATTCCCAGCATTATCATAGATCCTATTCAGTACCCATATCCCGAATTCGTAGGCCTATATATTCAGAACCGTATCCAAACCCATATCCAGAATTCCTAGGCGTATATAGAACCGTATCCAAACCCGTATTCAAACCCGTATCCAGAACCGTATCCGAATGTGTATTAAAACCGTATTGAAAACCGTATCGTAGTTTTACAACCGTATCTACAAATCGTATTCAAACCGTATTGAAACTCATATTGGGAAAAAACAGGCCGGAATGCCTTGCCAAGCAATAAACGAACTCTTGGCCTTAAACCGTCCGAAACCCCTAAACCCTAAACACTAAACCCTAAACCCCTAAACCCTAAACCCTAAACCCTAAACCCTAAAGCCCTGAACCCTAAACCCTAAACCGTCCGAAACCCTAAGCTTCGGCCTCTGCCAGGGCCGCGAGGGCCAGGGCGGTGATGGTGCGCACCTTCTGCTGCTCATCCTGGCGCTGCTTTACTTTTTGGGCTTAGACTTACGACTTACAGTAGGGTGTAGGGTTTAGGGTGTCGGGTTTAGGATTCAGGGTTAGGGTGTGGGGGGGGGGGGGGGGGCGAGTCGTTTCAGGGGGGGGGGGGGGGGGGGCGTAAATGGTGCGTTTCGGGTTTAGGGCATAGCGGCTATGCATAGCGTACTTATGACAGAGTTTAGCTGAACATGGGAAGGTTCGAACTTAGCCGGCAGAATCAAATAACATCAAAAACCATGAGTGGCAATTTATGGCAGAACACCGCATAGCAGACATCAACCCTTCAACTACAGGTTCGAGCAGGCCTTACGGTGGTATGCTGCTCCTGAAGCGCTTCATTCCAGCATTAAAAGGTTACACCGACATATAAGACATACGACATGAGAAGACCACGTCGTAGTCGACAAAAACAGCGTCCTGGAGGCCGTGGGCGATGATGTCGACCATCTGCTTGAGGTGCGGCAGGCAAGCAACGCCCTGAGACGTGGAAGCAATGCTTGGAGTACCAAGGGTTTAGGGTTTGTCGGACTGAAGGCTCGAACTGACCTCCCTTTCATCCGTAATGCCCAGTGCAGGAGGGGGGGGGGGGGTCTGCAGTAGCAGATGTAGCATCTGCCGGCCAATGCTAACAGTGATCCTACTCCTTGTACGCCACGGCCTGATACCTTCTGCCCCGGAAACCGAAGTCTTCAGCCCCGAAACTCTGTAAGCCCATCTCCACCGATTGCACCCAAGACACCCCCCGACAGATCCTGAACCCCAAAGATGCTAAAACTTGCAGCACCAAAAAGACCGCACTCAGCTGAGCCGGGAGCCATGAGAATGGCAATCTGCTGCACCTTTGGATTTAGGATGAGTAGTGTAGGGCTTTCGCGGTTGAGGGTTTAGTCTAAACCTTGCACCCGATTGGCCAAAAGCCAAGATTTTTAAACACCCAACACCAGATCCCATATGCTCCCTACGGATTGCTCATCCCGACACGACGGGCCGCTCATGGATCGAACCCTCTTGAGGACATCTCTGCATGCTGAGGCTGTCGTCTGACCTGCGTTTGCAGTCGACTCACAGGTACATAACTGGTTGAACCAAAACAGGAACTACAATGTGGAGACTGTAGGTGAATTCTGGGCTGAGATCCCTAGACTCCCCCCACACTCTCGTTGAACCACTGCTCCCCCCAAGACCGAGCTCGACGCGATCTTGATTCCCGTATGTCGCGCTTGCCAGCTCTTCTTCGACTGGCAGACCTAGAAGCTCTACTCTACTGGTTGTCACTTTGGGGTTTCCGGGTGTACGAGTTCGCGGCTTTGGGTCCTAAGATCAGGGTTTCCAGATCTTCCAAGTCATGAATTTGGTGTTCCAGTAAATAAGTTTAGTTGTAGGGTTCGGAGTACAAGACGGGAGATTATCCTAAAGGTTGTTTCAGAGAAGGGGCGCGACTGGGTTTAATATGTCGCCTGTTTCTTGGACCATATCAGCCCTATCAAACCTAAATCGGCGACACTCTCAAAACCTAAACAGCCCTGGACCTGCATGGTTGACTAGCAAAGCAAAAACCCCCTTGTATTAAGTCGAAACTCTGGACCTAACGGTTTAGGGTTTAGGGGTTTAGAGGCCTAGGGTCCAGGGCTGTGGGGCCAGGGTTTAGGGTTTAGAGTTAAGGATCTGGGTGCAGGCTTTAGTGCGGCTTTTTCCTCAAGACTGCTCCAACTTCGTAGAACAAGATCCGGAGGCACGGCATAACCTGTATACTTGCTTGCGGATTGTGCAGATAATCACGGTGGGAATGACACTGACTGTGATTTTGTGACGCAGGGCCCCCCGGTCAGCAGGTAGGGCCACTGAGAATTTCCTTGACACCGGTCGTCTTCAATAGTCCTATAGAAAGAAAGTTCCAGTGCTCCAAGAACCTCTTGAGAATCTAGGTTCGTCCTTTAAAGCCACTGAAAATCTTTCGGCGTTTTTCTTCTTAAGTCCAATATAAAGGAGAAAATACATATCCCAAAGGCCTACCTAGGACTGCTTTAGGAAGGTAGGGCATCTCAAGCCCGTACCAAATCCTAACCTCAGCGAACCCCCTATACAATAAACCCTAGACCCTAAGACATAACGGCTAAACCCAAACCCTAACCGTAATCCCTGAACCTAAACCCTAAAGCCTAAACGCTGAACCCCAGCCCCTAAACCCTAACCCTAAACCCTGCACCCCTTCATACTGGGATGCGCACGGCTCGAAGGAAGAGGAGCAAGCTCGGAATGCCCAGAGCGGAAGCCACCACGGCGAAGGCCCTGAGCTAAGAGTGACCAATAGAGTTTCGGACATCGGGGTGTGAGTTTTTGTTAGGTGCAATGCAGAGGGCGCCAAGTAAGGCTTAGTCTGGTAGGCCAATCGCGGCTTGCAGGAGTTGGTCTACAGGCTGTGTTGTTTTTTGGAGAAGCTGCGCAAAGTTGAGCACACCACACCCCGTGGCTTCAATAACCTACTTGCACACGGTTCTTTATTGATAAACCGTAATGTGGACTTCACAGGCACCTGAAAACAAGTTGGTTTTAAACCCCAAACCCCCAACCCCTAAACCCTAAACCCTAAATGCTAACCCAGTTTTGGTAGGCAAAGGTGTCGAAATAAGCATAAAGCCCTTGCTCCCAACCTTCTAGGACGGAGGCGAGGTAAGGGTACTTCTCAACAGTGACGGTTTAGGGTTTAGGGTACCCGTTAGGGTCCCTGTTATAAGGGTGCCGTAGCATTTTGGGGCTCTCGTTTAGAGAACTACCATACAGGGGTTAAGTTTATCGGCACCCTCGTCGCATGTTTATCAGCATAACGTTGATCTTCATCTCACTTCGAGGACCTTAAGCCGTAGGCCTTGATCCTAAGCCCCTATAAACCCTAAACCCTTAACCCTCAAACCCTAAAACCGTAAACCCTAAACCCTAAACCCTAAAACTCTAAACCCTAAACCCTAAAACTCTAAACCCTAAACCCTAAAACCCTAAACCCTACATCCTCGAAATGCAGGATGTGCCTGGCCGTGGTGTTGCGCACGTACCTGTTCATGCGGGAGCTCAAGACAACTATGGCACCTCTAGGTGTAGGAGTTAGGGCTACGGCTCAGGATTGAGAGATGAGGGTCGCTATATAACAGATCCTACTACGGCTGATGATAAAAATCCTGCATGACCCATAATAAGGAATATACCATAATTCCCATAGTCTAGGGTCCTTAAGGTGATGCAGGATTTATATCATCAACCGTACCACTATCTACGGTTCTATGTAGGACCTGGGGTTCCAGATTTTGTTAGGTTCGCTGATGTCCTGAAAAGTACCTGAACCCTAAACTCAGGAGGACAAAAGGGAACGACGATTTTGCCATTCCCATGCTGAAAGGACGAAACTTAAACTTCATAATCATAACTCCCAGCATTCACGGTTCCTTTAAGGGCTCGTGTTCGGCGAAAGTGTGACAAGCTGGGGGCACTCGTCCGCGTGGTCAATGTCCGGTCTCATGGTGGAAATCATTGTAGCTAGGCCTGCCAGCAGTGCAATAGGTGCATTCCTAGTTGCCAATACCATTCTGGAAGGTTCCTAGTTTTCTGGGCCCCAAAACCCCAGTCTAATTGTTAAGAACCTTATGTTATAGGGTTTCGGGGTTAGCCTGCAGAGTTTCCTGATACGTGAGTTCAATGTGAGTTTAGGGAAGGCAATTACGGGCCCTTTCTGAAAGTTCGGCCAATCAAAATGTATAGCCGCCATAAAGCCCTGGCCGTACCCAAAAAGCCGGGGTGTGGGGTTTAGACATCACAGGTCTTTATAAGTGGTTTATTTCTGGTTTAGGTCTCAACCCTAAACCTGAAAACCCAAAACCCTAAAACCCTAAACCCTAAAACCCGACACCCTAAAACCCCAAACCCTAAAACCCCAAACCCTGAAACCCAGAACCCTAAAACCCAACACCCTAAAACCCATAATCCTAAAGCCCAAAACCCTAAAACCCAACACCCTAAAACCCAGAACCCTAAAACCCAACACCCTAAAACCCATAACCCTAAAGCCCAAAACCCTAAAACCCAACACCCTAAAAACACAAAAAAAAATGAAACCCAACACCTAAAACCCAAAACCCTAAAACCCAAAACCCTAAAACCCAAAACCCTAAAACCCAACACCCTAAAAACCAACACCCTAAAACCCAAAACCCTAAAACCCAAAACCATGAAACCCCAAACCCTAAAACCCAACACCCTAAAACCCCAAACCCTAAAACCCCAAACCCTAAAACCCAAAACCCTACAACTAAAACCCAACACCCTAAAACCCAAAACCCTAAAACCCAAAACCATGAAACCCCAAACCCTAAAACCCAACACCCTAAAACCCCAAACCCTAAAACCCCAAACCCTAAAACCCAAAACCCTACAACTAAAACCCAAAACCCTGAAACCCAAAACCCTAAAAGGGAACCTCACCCCAAAATCGCAACTCAAAGCCCTCCAACCCGTGAGCACAAGGCCCTTGCAGGCACTCTTTTCCGACTGCGCTAGTCCATCTCGTCCAGCTGGATGCGGAGGGGCACATCCTCAAGAGTTTGCTCTTGTTGTTTCGAGCTTCAGGGGTTTCACAGTCGGGTCTGTTCTTAGAGACCCGTTGGAAGTTTTCACTGGTTCGACAAAGTCTTCCATAACGGCGGCCCCGCCCAGGTCTATAGGACTGATATGGTTTCAGCTGCTTGAAGGTTTCGGCTTCGGGGCTTAAAGTTGGGAGTTTTAAAGTTGACGATTTCTTGTTTTTTAGCTTGCGACATCGCGGTTGTTCTGAATCTGTGTTCCTCTTTCGCAACTTTATACTGCTCTATGAGGATTTGCAGGTTTTGCTTGGTACCGGTGCTTGACACGCAGACAGGGTTGCTTCTAAGCCATGGTTCCCTTCCTAGCATCTAATTCTCCGAACTGGCGAATATTGCATACGAGGAACCACAGTCGAAAACTTTTTTCGGGCAAGCGAAACCTGAATAGCCTGAACCCTACAAGCCCTAAATTCCAACGAAGGATGCCGGGTGGGGTTTCTGTAAACATTTTCAGGCTTTGAGGTATCCGACTTCCCGACCTGCTGAAGTCCCAAGCCTTGTGTCTGTAGGTTTTCTTGAGGTCGCCACAAGTGTTGAAAGGGACTGAAAACGCGAGGCTTCAAGACTGAAGTCCGAAAGCGTTCAACCCCAGGCCCAAAAAAAAAAAAAAAAAAGGCCTGACTGTGTCTGCTCAACGATCCTAGACCCAACACCTCTTAACCCGATGAGAGAGAGAGGCAGAAACCTTGCAGAGCCCTTGAGGGTAGAATCGTTCTTGAACTCTTATACAGCCCATTCTCTCTCCGAAGCTCCTGACACCTTCAACCCTCCCTACCCTCCCTCTCAAGCCCCGACAACCCTAAACTCTAACCCCACCCTCTTAAGAGTCTAAAAAACCCTAAACCATACTAAGCCCTGAAACCCTAAACCCTCTACCCTCCTCTCACAACCCTAAACTCTAAACCCCACCGTCTTAAGACTCTAAAAAAACCCTGAGCCCTATGAAGCCCCCGAAAACCAGCTCAGCCGAGGCTCGTGGGCCAGGCTCGCCAGCGCCTCGGCTATCACTCCAGGCTCGATTTCGAAGTTGATCTCCTGAAGGGTTGAAGGCTTTAAGGGTTTAAGGGTTTCGGGGTTTAAGGGTTTAGAGGTTTAAGGCTTTAAGGGGTTTAAGGGTTTAGGGGTTTAAGGGTTTAAGGGTTTAGGGGTTTAAGGGTTTAAGGGTTTAAGGGTTTAGGGGTTTAAGGGTTTAAGGGTTTAAGGGTTTAGGGGTTTAAGGCTTTAAGGGTTTAAGGGTTTCGGGGTTTAAGGGTTTAGGGGTTTAAGGCTTTAAGGGGTTTAAGGGTTTAGGGGTTTAAGGGTTTAAGGGTTTAGGGGTTTAAGGGTTTAAGGGTTTAAGGGTTTCGGGGTTTAAGGGTTTAGAGGTTTAAGGCTTTAAGGGGTTTAAGGGTTTAGGGGTTTAAGGGTTTAAGGGTTTAGGGGTTTAAGGGTTTAAGGGTTTAAGGGTTTAGGGGTTTAAGGGTTTAAGGGGTTTAGGGGTTTAAGGCTTTAAGGGTTTAAGGGTTTCGGGGTTTAAGGGTTTAGGGGTTTAAGGCTTTAAGGGGTTTAAGGGTTTAGGGGTTAAGGGTTTACGGGTTTAGGGGTTTAAGGGGTTTAAGGGTTTAGGGGTTTAAGGGTTTAAGGGTTTAAGGGTTTAGGGGTTTAAGGCTTTAAGGGTTTAAGGGTTTAAGGGTTTCGTTTAGGGTTTAAGGGTTTAGGGGTTTAAGGGTTTAAGGGGTTTAAGGGTTTAGGGGTTTAAGGGTTTACGGGTTTAGGGGTTTAAGGGTTTAAGGGTTTAAGGGTTTAGGGGTTTAAGGGCTTTAAGGGTTTAAGGGTTTCGGGGTTTAAGGGTTTAGGGGTTTAAGGCTTTAAGGGGTTTAAGGGTTTAGGGGTTTAAGGGTTTACGGGTTTAGGGGTTTAAGGGTTTAAGGGTTTAAGGGTTTAGGGGTTTAAGGGTTTAAGGGTTTAAGGGTTTAGGGGTTTAAGGCTTTAAGGGTTTAAGGGTTTCGGGGTTTAAGGGTTTAGGGGTTTAAGGCTTTAAGGGGTTTAAGGGTTTAGGGGTTTAAGGGTTTAAGGGTTTAGGGGTTTAAGGGTTTAAGGGTTTAAGGGCTTAGGGGTTTAAGGGTTTAAGGGTTTAAGGGTTTAGGGGTTTAAGGGTTTAAGGGTTTAGGGGTTTAAGGGTTTAAGGGTGTAAGGGTTTAGGTGTTAAAGGGTTCTTTGTTAACCTTGATGTGCATCCTTTCTCCAAAGCAGCGCTGGCATTTTGCCCTCGACTTAGTGAAACAAAAACTCCCCTGCGGTTGTAGACAGAGTTTAGGGCGTAAGGCTTTGAGGGTTTAAGGGTTTATGTAGGGTTTACGGTTTAGGGCTTAAGGGCTTCAGGGTTTGTTCCTTTAAGGATTCCTCTAAGGGATCTACACGAGATCTTCAAGGGATCTAAACGGGATCTTTATGGGCGATCCATCAGGGATCTATACGGGATCTATCGGGCATTGGGGTTTACTTGGAGGGTCGGGGGACTTAGTAAGTAGTTAATTTATAGAGTTACATATAAGTATCATAACCCCAATTAGGGTCCCTATAAAGGTACTTATAAGTCTATATAATAACTACCTTCCTACCAAACCCTACAAAAAAGTAGGGTCCCTATAAATTCCATATTAAGGTTCATAATAAGAACCTACAAAAATGTAGGGTTTGGTACGCTAAGGTACTTACTAAGTCCCTCGACCCTCCAAGTAGGAAGGTTGCGTCTGGGGTGCCACCCGGCCTCGAGGGCTTCTTCAACCTGTAGTCGCTGACCGCTACCCCTAAACCCTAAACCCCAAACCCTAAACCCTATACCCTAAACCCTATAAGCCGCAAACCCTAAACCCTAAACTCTGCTAGGATGTGGTTTCACCTCCTCCGGTTGAAGCCGGGGCGCTGGCCGGACGAGTGCTTGCATTGGGGTCCGTTTCGGGGAAGCGCAATCAGAAACGTCTTGTCAACTCCGATGTTCATCACGTGTTTGTCCCGCCTCATCCACACACATGATGCTTGGCCATTTGAAGAAAACCCTGACTCCGAGACTGATGCAGGGAATGCAAAGACGATCTGCGGCGGCACTTGATGTCTTGCGCAACTTCCAGCGCAATGCATGTATACCCAGTAGCGCCTACTTCATAGGTAGCTATCATTGTCTTACAAGCCCGCTAAAACGTGTTATAACTATACTTATCCTTCATATCTACCCATGAACCTCTAAGTAAGCAATTAGCAATCCCATTTTTGTGAAGTATAGTATACGTAATATCTCCCCGGAACCTTTTATAATCTGAATAGGAAGGACCCTATGTGGAAAGCCCGGGTTGAGGGGCATGCATTTAGGGGTTCAAAGGGGCTTAGGGTTTAGGGTTTAGGGGTGGGGTCTGGGGTTCCAGGCTTAGGGTTCAGGGTTTAGGCTTTCGAACCCCGCCAGGGGATCAACAGCTAAGGCTGAGGGTTTGGGCTTAATTAGGTTTTATAGGCTTTCAATCTCCGAAGGGATCCACAGCAAAGTAAGCAGAACTCTGCTGTCTGAAACGCTGACTTACTCACCGTCCCAAGCCGCGTCCAAGTTGAATCCCGAAATCCTGAAACCTAACCCCCAAACCAGAAAGCCTAAATAAACCCCAAACCCTAAACCCTGCCTAAGCCGTAGCCCCTAAACCCCAAACCTTAAAACCCGAAACCCTACCGAAGCTCCTCGTACAGCTTCGGAAGCCACTGACGCACGTCCGCCTCAGGGTCAGAGGCTTGACCCGCTTTAAGGCTTTAGGCTTTAGGGTTTCACTGCTTGTTTGCGTTTAGCGGCTACAGGGCTTCAGCGAGGGTTCGAGGGTTTTAGGACTTGGGGTTCAGGGTTTGCGGTTCTAGTAAACGGCCTGGGCCTGAGTGGGGTTTCAT